TGGCTTAAATAATAAAGATATATAATGATGTTTTACAGGTGTGTAGATGGAATTGATGCAGTGATTTAATGGTGTCATTAAAGATTCAGCCTTTGTCTTTCTGCTTGGGCAGCCTTGACATTTTGGCTTTTTTCCCCTCAAACTTAGAGTTCTGTGGTTGATAGATGGCTTTTGCAGCTCTTGTCATCATATCCTAGAAATGATAGGAGGGAAGGGTTCTTTCTTCTTGTGACTCTTTATTAGGGAGGAGAGTTTTTCTGGGAATGTTCCTCTGCCCCAGCAGATTTCTTCTCAGTTTCATTGGCCAGAACTAGATAACATGATCTGGTTTTCAAAGAGTCTGGAAAAGTGCGGTTCTGCCAACGTGGGGAGGTAATGGCTGTTGGGTAAGTGATCACTGTCTGCTCCAGGAAGCTTAAACTAATGTTTCTGAATTAAAATAAATTTAAATGCTTTTTTTCTTTTGGTGAGGAAGATCAGCCCTGAGCTAACATCCGATGCCAATCCTCCTCTTTTTTGCTAAGGAAGATTGGTCCTGGGCTAACATCTGTGCCCATCTTCCTCTACTTTATATGGGGTGCCGCCCCAGCATAGCTTGACAAGCGGTGTGTTTTTGTGTGCCTGGGATCCGAACCTGCGAACCCCGGCCTGCTGAAGTGGAGTGTGCGTGCTTAGCTGTTGTGCCCCATAAATTTAAACGCTTTTAAATGAAGGATCTGCACGCCAACACTAGAACATTTCTCTGCCTAGGTCCTTTTGTATAAACTGAGTGTTAAGCTCTTTTTCCCTCTTACTGCTATAGAAACATTTATCCTGCCATTGACTACTAAACTTTCACTTCTTTATAAAGCTTAGAAAAGAGACCAAGAGCATCCATCTCATCAGAAGCTGAGGGGAATTACTTAAGCAAGGAAGACACCAAATTTCTTATTTTGTATTAAAGACAGGGCTCTCTGTCACAGTGTACTTCTTGATGTATGGGAATTGTGATATGATATGGTAGTTTACTTATACGTTTTCCCATTGCCAGGTTTCTAGATACAATTTATGAGAGAAAGCTAAAGGTCAGATAGGTACATATTAAAGAGATTGTGTTCATTCTAGATCCTGATTAGATTACAGCACCCCAAACTTACAGAAAAGGCTACTTTCTCCCATAACTTTCCAGTTAGGTTATCCAGATGCTACTGCCACTTTCTGTAACTGCTACCCTGGGCTCAAAGAGGCTCATACTCACAACAGTATTTGGCAATAGTAATACAGTGAACCCAGGGTTGTAGCTGATAAACTTTCTGACTTAATTGGCTACAAAAAACAAGATGGTAGAGAGATTGGCTATTTGACCTTTTTTTGTGTGTGTGAGGAAGATCGGCCCTGAGCTAACATCTGCCAATCCTCCTCTTTTTTTTGCTGAGGAAGACTGGCCCTGGGCTAACATCCATGCCCGTCTTCCCCTACTTTATATGGGACGCCGCCACAGCAAGGCCTGACAAGCGGTGCCTCGGTGTGCGCCTGGGACCCGAACCAACGAACCCCGGGCCACTGCAGAGGAGCGCGTGCATTTAACTGCTTGCGTCACTGGGCCGGCCCCCTGGCTATTTGACCTTTGGAGGGACTTAGTTCTGGCCTGATTCCTGAGGACCTTGGATAACTGGCTTACTGGTTGACGTTACTGATGGAGACTGTTACTAACATTCATGTCTAAGACTTGAAAATATTGAAGGAACATTATTATAGTGATTTGGTCACTATGCTGTTAATTTTCAATAATCCAGAACCATTTTCTGTTGATTATTTTTGTTGCCTGTATTGGGACTTAGAACCACGTTATTTTCCAGATGCACCTAGTTTTGTACAAAAATAGTATTACCCCCTCCCCCCATCTTTGATGGTTATGTTAGAATCCTTAGAAATGCAGTGAATCTGTAATTTTCTTTATGAGAAAATTCATGGAATCCATGAATTTTTTTTATTGCTTCTTCAATCCAGGGAGTGAGTATAACCTGCATGTGTGTAAAGTTCTGCTTCTAGATCATTTAAGAGATAAAATATGTGTAGCAGTGGGAAGCATTCTGTTTAAAATTTTCCATCTGTACCTTTTCTATCTAGAGAAGTTCTTTTTCTCCATACCTTTTATATCTGATCTTCAAAAACAAGTCTCCATTTCCAGGTAGGCTTGGTTGTGTAACCTCAAAACTTAAAGGCAATATAAGTTCTCTATCCCCCTGAATAGTGGAATTCTCAAAATGATTAGATTAGAGAAGAGTGATTTTTCCCCCTTCCAGAAGCTGTGTTGCCATTGCCCAACATCATTTTATCGTAAATACTTAAACTTTTTATATGTATTGTTTAGGTTGATCAGTGCAGTTAATTTAGTGGGGGTTTTGTTTTTCAGATTTGCATTACTGACAAGTTCTTAGATCTTTGATTTTCATGGTCCTGTTGGAATTACCTTCTAGTTCCTTTTATCTCCCTCTCTGAGCTAATTATCTACAACAGTTTTTGGACTTTTACATACTGACGCTGTGAAGCACAGAATGCTAATTAGTATTAAGAAACACCTTTTTGAGGTCTGCCGGAGCTTTGATATATCTTTTGAGCTTTGCGTTAGAATGTCTGTCATGGTGGGAAACATAAGTCAGGTTGAAAAGTTGAAGATATTCTCTTTATCCTTTTGTATTACCAGGGCTTGTGAACAAAAACCTTATGTTGAATCCGGGCTTATGTTATGTTTGAATTCATGATTAAGAACCAAAAGTGAGATTTAGAACTGTATGTTTTAAATTTTCCTTGGAGCAGTGTTTCTCAGGGAGTTTGAAAATGTTTGGGGCATTGTTGGTATCATAGTGGCAAAGGGCGTACTTTGGCATTAATGGAAGGGAACCAGGGATACCATATGTTCTGAATGTGGAGACAGTCTCGTACCATGATGTTTTGACCTTCCTCAAATGCTGGTAACATCACAGTTGAGAAACCCTAGGGATGCAGCATCAAAGTTTATGCCAAATAGATTCATATAATGTATTAGGCATATTCCTGAGTGAAACTTACACATTACCCTTTTTGTTTTTATTTTTTTGAGCTATAATTGACATACAATAAACTGCACATATTTATAGTGTTCCAGTTGATAAATTTGGATGTGTGTTACACCCGTGAACCCATCACCACAGTGGAGATAGTGAACATATCTATTACATCCAAATGTTTCCTCTTCCTCTTTGTAATTCCTCTTGCTTCTCCCCCTGCCCCCAGCAACTTGTCATCTGCTCTCTGTAAATATATATTAGGTTGCATTTTCTAGAGTTTCATGTAAATGGAAGTCATACAGTGTGTACTCTCTTTTTGGGGTCTTTCAGCATTATTTATTTTGAGCTTCATTTGTGTCATTGTGTTATTAATAGTTAATTTCTTTTCATTGCTGAATAGTATTCCATTGTGCAGATATACAATAATGTGTGTATTCATTCACCTGTTAGCGGACATTTGGGGTGTGTCCACTTTTGAGCTTTTAAAAAGGAAGCTGTTTAAGAAAATACATGGGGCCGGCCCCGTGGTTTAGCGGTTAAGTGTGCGCGCTCCGCTACTGGCGGCCCAGGTTCGGATCCTGGGCACGCACTGACACACCGCTTCTCCGGCCATGCTCAGGCCGCGTCCCACACACAGCAACTAGAATGATGTGCAACTATGACATACAACTATCTACTAGGGCTTTGGGGAAAAAAAATAGGAGGAGGATTGGCAATAGATGTTAGCTCAGAGCCAGTCTTCCTCAGCAAAAAGAGGAGGATTAGCATGGATGTTAGCTCAGGGCTGATCTTCCTCACAAAAAAAAAAAAGAAAATTCATGAACAAGCCTTTTCATGGACATATGCTTTCATTCTTCTTGGGTAAATACTTAGGAGTAGAATAGATGGATAATATGGTAGGTATTACTATTAAAGAAACCGCCCAACTGTTTTCCAAAGTGGTTGTACTGTGTTATGTTCCTATTAGTGCTTTCTCCACATTCTAGCCAATCTTGGTCTGGTCAGTCTATTTAATTTTAGCCATTCTAATAGTTCTCATGTTCTAATAGTTCTCTAATAATATCTCATGGTTTTAATTTGTATTTCATCAGTTACCATTGATGTTGCTCATCTTTTCATGTATTTGTTTGCCATCTGTATGTCTTCTTTGGTGAAGTGTCTGTTCAAATCTTTTGCCCATTTTTAAAAATTAGATTGTTTTTTTATTAGGTTTTGAGTTTGTTATATATTCTGGCTGTAAGTCCTGTGTCGGATATGCTTTGCAAATATTTTGTTTCAGTTTGCTGGTTGTCTTTTCATTCTTGTAACGGTGCTTTTTGGAAAAACAGAAGTTGTTAGTTTTGATGTAGTCCAGTTTATTGTTTTGTTCTTTTGTAGATTGTGCTTTTGGTGTCATGATAGAAATCTTTGCCTGACTCCAGGTCATAAAGATTTTCTCCAATGATAAGTTTTACGGTTTTAGGTTATACATTTAGATCTGTGATCTGTCTTGAGATAATTTTTGTTTATGGTGTGATGTATGGATCAAACTTAAATTTTTCTTTTTTGGGCAAATGGATGTCCAATTGTCTCAGCACCGTTTGTTGAAAAGATGATCTTTTCTCCTTTGCACCTTTTTCAAAAATCAGTTGTCCTTCTATAATAACAAGTCTTGAAATCAGGTATTGTTAGCCCTGAACTTTGTTCTTTTTCAAAGCTACTTTGGCTTTTCTAGGCCATTTGCATTTGCTGATGAATTTTAGAATAAAATCGTCAATTTCTACAAAAAACACCTGGGATTTTGATTGGGATGGCTTTGAATAAATATATCAATTTACCATTTATTTAGGTCATCTTTAATTTCTCTCAGCAATGTTTTGTGGTTTTCATTGTACATGTTTTTCACATGTTTTGTCAGACTTATCCCTTAGTATTTAATCTTGTTGATACTATGTTAAACAATGTTGTTTTTGAAACTTGCTCTCCAATCAGGTCTTGTCCAATAAGCATGTGGCTCCTGATCATCTGTTGCAAATCTGCCAGCGCATCGGTCCCATGTTGGATAAAGAAATCCCACCCAGTATTTCAAGAGTCACTTCTTTACTTGGTGCAGGAAGGCAGTCTTTGCTACGTACAGCAAAAGGTACCTTAATTTGAAGAAGTGTTCTGCTTTGTATTACTAGCTTAGTAATTACTATAATTGTGAAGTAATGTAAGCATTGTGGAAGAAAGGTGATATGTAACATAAACCTATAAACCATGCTGTGGACTATGAAATTCTCTGCATTTAGCATAGACATTGAATTTTATTAGTTAAGTGTTTAATGGGTCCTTCTGCATTTAAAAAAATGATAAAGGTATAGATGTTAAGCTAAAAAGCTTGAATTTATTCTGAGATGTGTTTGAGGTTTTATCAATGTGAGTTCTTAATTTTCCTTTTTGTAGCTCACTTATAACTTCATTGAATGTAATTGTATGTGTCTAATAAACTCTTTAAATGCTAGAAGTATTTCATTTGATATTTAGATTCTGAAAGCCCTTTGTTATAAGGGGAAGTGATTTTCTAAATTTGGTAGCAGTTTGAAAACAAGCACCAAAAATGTAAAATTGCATGGTTCTTTTTTCACCAATTTAATTTTTTTGCGAAGTTATGTGGTAGCAAAATGTTTGGAATTGCTGTTCTTTTTCTGTTAGCTTGGTATATATAATTCACTTAGGCTAAGTATATGTATGTGACTGATCTATGTATACAACGTGGCTTAACTGCTAACGGGCAAGAATGTTGGCTCTTCTGATCCTGAGCATATGTCAAGTTCATCCCTCGTGATTATTTATATAATGATTTGTTGCTGATGTGATACTGCCTCTTAGATGTACCACCAGTATAAAGCTTGACTGAGAAAGAACAACCTCCCTCTTGGTTCCATGCCAGACTGGTTTGTCAGCTTTAGTTGTTTCTTAGTGCTCTATGGCCATGCCGCACTGTGGCTTGTATCAGGAAACTGTTCATATTCTTCCTTCTTCTGTGTCCCTATTCACCTTGTAATTATTCTATTTTAGGTTGTTATATAGTAGTTGCCTGGGTAGCCTGTTTTCCTCTGTTTTCTTTACTTGTGTCAAGTTCAATGTCGTTTTGTGATGAGCACTGCTTTAGAACTGGCAGACCTTAGAAGACCTCAGCAAGCTGCCCTAGGGTAGGGACCATATTTCTCTGTTTGTTTTGTACTAGTGCCACGAGAGGATGCCTTGTAACTGCTCTTTGATCATGATAGTGGTGATGAATCCATTCATGTAAAATGTAATATGCCTGTTAGTTTGGGGCACCCGAGGCTCAGTGAGGTTTTGTACGATGCCTTCCTTCACCCTTCCTCTTTCAGTTACGCAGAAACTAAGTTCTAGCACAGCGTAATCTGTGTTCTGTTGCTATCTCCTATAGAGGGGCCAGACGTTTTTTCTTAGTATATTTGCTGGTAGGTCAACGAAAGAATTAGTGTTCAGACGCAACAGATCCTACATATGTGCTCTTGTGTAAAGGATTATTTATGATCCTAAAACAAGAGGAAAACCATTTAATTTTGTCAGTACTTCCAAAGGAGATTGAAGTCATGGTAATATTGGCAGAAATTAATTTTAAAACTAAATAATTATTTAAGTAGTTAATTAAGTCAAGGATTTTCATGTAAATCAAAGAAATTAAAATTGTCCTTACAAAAATTTCCAATTTTGGAAAGTTGGATCAGTTCTGATTAAGATCTTTTATCGCTGGTATTATATGGTATAATTCTGCATTGAAAAATAAAAACTTATTTGACATTGAATGAGACTTGGAGTTAAAAGATCTGGTTTTATGGTCCATCTTGACTAATCGTTAGCAGTGGATCTCTTTAAAGGTCCTGGAACCTTTGAGCCTCAGTTACCTCACTTGTAAATTGGCGATAATACCTACCTCACAGGGTTGTTGTGAGGATTCAATGAGATAATGTATGTTGAAAGCACTTTGTAAATTGTAAAGTGCTACTCAAATGTTAGTTGTTGTTGTATCTGAGATGTCTTAAATTTTTTTTTTTCCTTCAGAAAATAGTCTAATAAACCTCTAGGGCTTTTCTGTTAAAGTATATTAGTTGGTAAAACTTTGAATAAACAGTTTATTACAATATACGTAAGTATTCTATAAAATCTTTCTTGGGGTTAACTTTCAAGATTTTATGTGTATCTAAAATTCATTTTAAAGACTGCAGGCACACAGTTTGGAAGGGCTCTGCCTTTGCTGCTCTTCATAGAGGAAGACCTCCTGAAATGCCGGTGAATTATGGTTCCCCACCAAATCTTGGTAAGTGAGGTTGGCCGGAAGATGCCCAAAACCATTCTTTTAATTTCTTGACCAACTTTGTAACTGCTATATTAAAATTTAAAAGGAAATGCTGGTAGTGTTTGTTGTTTCAGTAGTAACAAGTATCAATTTTCAGATTATTGTTTTCCTAAAATAATTACTAAATGTAATAAAAATTAATGAACAGCAGTCTTATTGTTAAGAATTCTGTATTAGTGATTATAGTAGAATAGAATTGGGAAAAAGCTTGTGTCTTTAGGATTTCTCAAATATGGATTTTGTGACCCTCTAGAAATTGTTTTGGAGTTTCTCTTAGTTTTTTACATGTTGACTCTCCCTTAACCATTTTCGTTGTTTTTATTTCCTAGTGGAGATACATCGAGGAAAACAACTCACAGGGTGTTCCACTTTTAGCACAGCATTTCCAGGAACTATGTATCAGCATATAAAAATGCACAGAAGGATTCTCGGACATCTATCTGCTGTTTACTGTGTAGCATTTGATAGGACAGGACATAGAATCTTTACAGTGAGTTAACGTTTTAAACTCAATTTGGTATCATCTGGAGCGCTTTAATGTGCATCAGAGTCATCTAGGAAATCTTATAAAACATGTAGATTCTATGTTTCCCATTCTCAGGATTTTTGACTCAGTAGGCCGGGTGTGGGGCCCATCAATTTGCGTGTTTATTAAGTATCCCAAGTGATTCAGATGCGGATTGTCAGGCCTTGTGTGGTGTTTGCGAGACACTGATTTAGAGGAGTGATTCTTGGGCATGATCATCAAGGATGCTTAAAAATATACATGTCTCGTACTTCCTCTCCAGTCCATTCTAGACCTATTGAATTAGTTTAATTTCTCGTATGTGTATTAACCCAAAATAAATTTAAAAAGCCCACAAAAATCCAAATCTCTACGGGTGATTCATACTGACATTGATTACTCACAGATCCAGAGAAATTGATGGAGTACTTGAACAATGAAATATATATATATATTTTTTTGTGAGGAAGATCGGCCCTGAGCTAACATCTGCTAATCCTCCTCTTTTTTTTGCTGAGGAAGACTGTGCTGGGCTAACATCCATGCCCATCTTCCTCTACTTTATATGGGACCCCGCCACAGCATGGCTTGACAAGTGGTGCGTCGGTGCACGCCCAGGATTTGAACTGGCGGACCCCGGGCCGCTGCAGCAGAGCGCGCGCGCTTAACCACTTGCGCCATGGGGCCAGCCCCGAAGAATGAAATATTTTTAATTATTATAAAACTATATGTAAATATTTGGAATTTAATTTACCATTTTAATGTTTTAAGGGAAAATTAGGGTGGGTAAGAAGTTTTAACTTTTCAGTTGTGAGATTCAGAGTGGATACTCAATATTTGCTGGAATGAATGGATGGATGCTTGCTGGTACTATAAATTTGAGACTCTGTCGTTTGGTTTTTTACAATGAGGATGTTAGTCCTGTTATTTTGTAGTTGTTTTTGGGATTGCCACTTTCTCTTGTTTCTTAGCCTGTGAGACATATATCTTTCCTAACACTCATCAAATTATTTAGCTTGACATGAGCTAACCTGACATTTAACTATTGCTCATTGAAATAGGTGAGCCACAAACTTTTAGTTGGACGACTTGGCAGAGAATTTTGGGAAAATAGTATTTATAATGTGGTCTGATGCATAGAAATGAAAATTTCACAGTATCTTTATGTAGACATTATTTTATTTGAAGAAAAAACTATTATTCCATAAGTGTTCTGACCATAAGATTCATAATTCATGGAGTATTCTAAGTTGGAAAGAGAGGAGGAGTTGTAGATACTTAATCTGAGTGACATGTAAATAGTATTCTTTTAAATGGTGTAAAAGACTTGCTGGATTAACATTTATTTTTGGGTGTATTTTTTTTTAGGGTTCAGATGATTGTTTGGTGAAGATTTGGTCAACACACAACGGTCGTCTGTTATCCACATTAAGAGGTCATTCTGCAGAAATTTCAGATATGGCAGTAAACTATGAAAATACATTGATTGCTGCAGGGAGCTGTGATAAAATAATTAGAGTGTGGTGCTTGAGAACTTGTGCCCCAGTTGCTGTGCTCCAAGGACACACGGGATCAATTACATCTTTACAGGTAAACTGGCTTTAGTGTGCATATTTGTGTATTATCTCCTTTTCCTTTAAAACTCTCTTCTCTTTGGAGATGAGAAATAGTAAGATGCTTAGTAACTATATGATGTATTTTAAATTTAATAATCAAGGGAAAATATAATTAATCATACTTCCATGAATCTTGGAAGGGTGATGTACGAAATATCTAATGCAGTTAGAGCTGTATATGAAGGCTTGATGGATGTCTTATTACTTCCTTTAAGTTTATGGTTGAACTGAAGGAGTGTCAGTTACAAACTGGTGATAGGCTAATGATTTTTCTGCTTTAAAACTTGTGGATTTTGGTAAGTTGATTGAATTTGCTGAAATATATTTAAAAATTTTTTTCACTTTATTGTGGAGGATAACTTTGAACATATATAAAGTAGACAGAATAGTATAATAAACCCTTTGTGACGATCAACCCATGGCCAGTTCTTCCTCAACTACTTCACCTTGTACCTAAAACAAATCCTAGATTTCATGTAGTATGTCTTTCTAAAAGATGAGGATTCTTTTTTTGTTTTATTGATGTTTTAATAGTTTATAACATTGTGAAATTTTGGGTTGTACATTTTTGTTTGTCTATCACCATGTATATGTCTCCCTTCACCCGTTGTGCCCACCGCCCACCCCCCACCCCCATTGCCCCTGGTAACCACAATACAGTTTTCTCTGTCCATGTGTTGGTTTATATTCCACATATGAGTGAGATCATACAGTGTTTGTCTTTC